ATCTGGGGGAACGTTTGTTCACCAGAGCGCCCCAAGGGATGACGAGGTCGAATGGTCACAAACTACTTCAAGATCATTTCAGGCTGGACATAAGGAAGAATTTCTTTACTGTCCGAGCCCCCAAGGTCTGGAACAGCCTGCCACCGGAGGTGGTTCAAGCGCCTTCATTGAACACCTTCAAGATGAAACTGGATGCTTATCTTGCTGGGATCCTATGACCCCAGCTGACTTCCTGCCCTTTGGGCGGGGGGCTGGACTCGATGATCTTCCGAGGTCCCTTCCAGCCCTAATGTCTATGAAATCTATGAAATACCAATGCAAAACATTTTTAAGTCTCTTCCTGGAACCTCTTTATAAAATGCTACTACACACACCTGCATACAGATGGAGTTTATACACTGAGCATTGATGTAAAATCTACAATTAAAAAAAAATAAAATTATGTATACGGTCATTGTAGGAGACTGTATGCCACAGGTGTCATGACAACCACAGAAGCGTCTTTAATACTTAATAAGTGATTAAGAAATTGCCCAGATTCTAATATTTCAAAGATGTCCCATTCTCATGGTCAAGGCTTCAGAAGAATGTTTAGGTTCTAAATAGCATGGAAATCAGTACAAGAAAATCAGCAAGCCAATTAAGCGATTGGCCCAGAATTGAGGCAATCTGAACTAAAATCATCTAGCAAAGAACAACAAATAAATTTCTCATTTTTCAGCAACAGGTCTCCTATTAACAAGTGCACAGCTGGCTTAAACAAAAATCAGGGTCAAATTAAAAAATTCTGATAAGCCATCACAGTTAGCTTGCTCACTAAACACAAATTTTAGAATATTAAAAAATTCTAACTTATTACTACACCTGGATCGTTCAAAGGTTGTGTCTTACAAAATCTTATCCTTGGAGCAAAGCTGAAATTATGGCAGGGGAAAGAAGAGAATTACACTGTATTATTTATTCCATATGTATTGCTTGTTAGATGTTCAGTAGATCAATTTTAAACTCAGTCATGCCATATGAAAAACAAGTTTTCATCTTTTGTTTTTATTATCAGTCATTGGCATGAAAACCAGTTCTCTGTTTATTACAGTTCATCTGTTCTTGCTTTTTTAGAATGTCACTTGAAGGTATAATCCTCTATGACAATTCATCATGTTTCTGAAATTGTGTTTATAGATGTCAAGACACGAACAGTATGACCTCAGCTGAGAATAAACAGTAAAAACATGAGTCCAATAGAAGCAAAGTCCATATTTCACACAAATATTTCTAGGGATATATTAAACAAAGAAAATGTTTGCCTGGATATTTTTCACTATCCAAAGATGTAAATTGTTGGTGATATATACCTGTGTGAAATATTTTCCATCTTGTTTCAGGACTTTCATGGAAAGGTCAAGAATCAAGCGCAGAAACTCCCAAGTAGAATCTGGAGATTAAAAAAAAAAAAAGAAAAGAATTAACACATCTAAAAGTTACCAGTTTTGCATTAATATTTAATCAGTTTTACTGATTACTATTTATCGAGCAGGGGTTTCAAATACATAAACCGCAAGCCAGACCCAGCCCATGAAGTCTTGTCATCCAGCCCATGAAGCCAGAAAATTGGTGCTGAGACAAGAGAAAGCAGCATTAATTCCAGTGGTTTTAGGAGCCCCAGCAGCCATCATTTTTCTCACTCCAAATTTCTGACCTCCTGGCAGTGCCACAGGTGCGATCTGGTGTGCAGAGCCATGTTATCTGGCCTGTGGGACTGCCTGCAGGTCAGGTATTTGGTGGTAGGGTGAGCAGCAGCTGCTGAAGCTCCAATTAACACTGCCATGTGTCTCACCCCACCACCAAATTTGCAGCTCAGCGAACCAGATAACAGAGATCCTTTGCTCTAGATCCCACACATGGGGCCAAATGAGTTTGTTTTAGAAAACAGTTCAGAGGTGATTAGCCATGTCAGCCAGAAGGTAGGGCAAGGTAGCACCTCACAAACTAAATGATTCAGAGGCATGAGCTTTTGTAGGCAAAAATTTAATCAAATGCTAACCGCGTGGTCGTTGCTGCCCAAGCTGCCAACCACTACTACGTTCCCCACCAATAATTGCACGTTTGTCAGCAGCAGGTCAAGAAGAGCATGGCCCCTGTTGACCACTCCAGTGCTTGTACCAGGAAGTTGTCCCCAGCGCTCTCCAAAAACTTCCTGGATTGCCTGTGCACTGCTGTATTATCCTCAGCAGATTTTAGGGTGATTAAAGTCCCCCATGAGAACCAGGGCTTGTGATTGGGACACTTCTGGTAGCTGTTTGAAGAAAGCCTCATCCACCACATTCTCCTGGTCTGGTGGTCTAGAGCAGCCCCCCACCATGACATCGCCATTATTGCTCTCCCCTCTGACGTTAACCCAGAGACTTTTGACAGGCCTGTCTCCAGTTTCATACTGAAGCTATGAGCAATTATACAGCTCTTTTACATACAGCACAACTCCTCCTCCTTCTCTCCCTTGTCTGTCTTTCCTGAACAGTTTATACCCATCCATGACGGTGCTCCAGTCATGCGAGCTATCCCACCAAATCTGTGTTATTCCAATTACATCATAATGCCATGACTGTGCAAGGACTTCTAATTCTTCCTGCTCGCTTCCCAGGCTCCGTGCATTCATGTACAGGCACCTAAGGTAACCAGCCAATTGTCCTGATTTCTCAGGAAGAGTGAGAATGCCGTCCCCTGTTGTCCTGCTTGTGCTTCCTCCAGGTCACCCACTTACCCCAGGGCTTTGGTCTCCATCTCCTGGTGAATCTAGTTTAAAGCTGGGGGATAGAGAAAGATGGGGACATCTGTACCCTTAAAACATTTTTGAACTAAAACAACTCTCTCAACACTAGGCAGACAAGGTTCCTTGGGTGAATTTGATATCTTTTGTTAGACCAACCCAAATGGTTGGAGAATAGTTATTAAGCAAGCTTTCGGGTTCAAAAACCCTTCGTCAGGCTAAGGAAGCTGCAGCAGTTGGTAGGAACCTTGTCTGCCTATATCCTTAGACCAACACGGCTACAACCTAAACCCCTCTCTCAACACTAAGCATTTTTTCTTCCAAAAGTTCTTCCGTGGGGGTAATCAAATAAATACTTAAAAACTTTAAAGTTACAGCTATTTACAGATGATCAACTGTTACTGATTTGTCTGTCCTTTCTAAATGGAAGGTAAACAGCTCTCCTTTTAAATCTGTTTCGTACATGTTTAGAGTCAGAGGTTCAATTCTATTTATCTGCATAAAAGCAGGCAGATGAAAGAGTTGCAACAGTTTAGCTGATATGTTTCTAAGAAATAATGCTTTGGCCTCTTTGAAAATGGTTTGGCATTCTATCTACCCAAAGCCTAAAGTGCAAATGAAGTGCTGTTTATATTTTTTAATGTCTTTTTCTGATGGATTTGCAGTCTGTGGAAGGGTTTCTTTTTTAAAAAAAAAATCAAAGTGCAATTCAGGATATATGAGATTCTTTTAGAGTTGAATTTTTGTCAGTTTTCTTACTCTTATTTTGGACTAAGCTTGGTAAAATATCCTTGATTTATACCAGTATTAGAAAACATCTGTGCAGTGGGATTTTTATTAAGTTAGAGCTGGCCTCATAAAAGAAAAGCAGTATTCTGAAAATTGAAATCCGGAGTTTATGTACTACTGTTCTTTTAAAGAATATGTGCTTTTATACAAAAGGTCAAAAGCAGGTAAACATTACTTATGTTTAATGTCAAATAGAAACAAGAGCACAGACTACTTTAAAACACTAAAGATTAGAACTCACTGCACAACTTGCATGTAAAAGATACATTTTATGACTGTGTTTAACCTAAGCAAGTCATTGTTGGTTTCCTTCCTACTTTCTTCAGTCAACGAATCATGCCTTAGGCTTGCCTGTCCTTATGTTTTAACCTTGAATTTAATTCTGCAGCAGCAGCAGAGGAATCGGCAGCGGGGGCAGCAACAGCTGATCCCCCAAAGGTAAGTGGGGCGGAGGGACCCGGCACAGCTGAGCCGGATCCAGAGGGGAAGCCCCCCGGGTCCCTTATAGCTGAGCTGGTAGGGAGCCGCGCTCATGAGCCGCGCAGCGCGAACAGAGCGCGCCGGCGTTTGCGCAGGCGTTCGGGCAGGAAGGGCCAGGAGAGAGACTCCTGTACGGGTAGAGTGTACACACCACACAGATCTACAAACAGCAGCTTACAGAATGGTGTCGACGAGGAGTGCTGCTAGGGCCTCTGCCCAGGGGGGCAAGGCTACCCGGGGCTGGTCTGAGGCCTCCATCCAGACCGAGCCCATGGGGGAGCTGATGTCCCCCTACCTCCTGGCCTGCGGGGGATCCCCAGCAGGGTCGGGGGGGCAGAGATTGGGGGCCCCCACACCTGTCTGGCAGGAGCCCGTCTTAGGGCTCTGGAGGCGCAGGTGAGGGAGCTCCGGGAGGAGGTTAGCAGGCTGAGGGGTATCAGGGAGGCGGAGGATGAAATTGACGGCTATTTCTTTTCCCTGCAGGACCAGGCACCAAAGGAAGAAGCAGCCCGGGGAATGCCCTCCACGGCAGAGTGGCAGACGGTCACATCCAGGACTGGAGCTGCTCGCAGTGAACAGGTACCAGTTCCTCTAGTCCAACTGCAGAACAGGTACGAGGCCCTGGCGAACCTGCAGGAGATGGAAGG